TTACAAATCCTCAAAAAAAAACTACTTAAGTACTGTAATGAAGTAAATGTACTTAGTTACTATAAACCTCTGCTTATCAGAACTTTCAAATGCATGACTTCTTCGATCGGCTTGATCAAAGGTTTTTGCTGAGATGCTTATTTTGTCAGTTCTGCACTCATAAAGTTCAGGGATTTTTTAAATTTCCTCTATATTGTCTGAATCCTTTACACTGAGTCTAATACTCTTCTGTGCCGGTTTCTATTTGGCATGACTCACGCAAATCCTGGTAGTAGCTCTTCGGACTGACAGCAATACACTCACCAGTGCAGATGTGATATAGCCAGTGGTGGGCAGSGCTAAACCAAAAATTAGCTCCACAATTTCTAAAGCGCTTATGAAAATATTTAGGTCCRCAGCTTCAAAAACGTTTATGCCATAGAAAACCTAGCGGAAGCTAATTTTAAAGCGCAAGTTCAATTTGACACTTACTAGCTGCACAACACTGCCAACAAGCAGTGTATGAATCCTTGTACAGCTTAATCCTACAACCACTGATAGCTGGGGATGTGATTTCCTGAAACAGAACTTTAGCTCCTGGTGTAAAAATTAAAAAGTTGTTGAGGATTGCTAGTTCGGCTGCTTCTTTGTCTTTTTCTTTTGTTTGTTGTAGATTTTTCATTAAAGAAGCATCAATAAAGTAATTTTAAAACTGTTTATTGGAAAACTGAAGCGATGCATTCTGGGTACATGACAGATTTGATTTGTGACGGGAAAGCAGGGAAAACAGGAAACTATCTTCCCTTCAAAATAAGAGCTTGGATTGTAAAGTTTTCCATGTAGTTGCTCCAGTTGACCACTAGATGTCTGTCTTCGTCTGCATAACGTCTTTAAATCATTTCTGAGTCTATAACCCCGTTGCTTCGACCAATTACATCAAGTATTGAGCTCCAGCGTTTAAACTTTACTTTAAAGATGATGATGACTGGTAGATAATTAGTTATTAGTGGTACTACATTTTAATTTTAGAAAGCGCAAATCCGCTTATGAATTATAAAAACTAGTAAGACCGCTAAAGCGCAAACGAAATATTTAGGTCCGCAATTAGCGGATTTGCGCTTTAGCGGACTGGTGCCCACCACTGGATATAGCCCTGTTCAAAAAACATACGTTGACCTTTTGGTCTTTCTTTTCCCCAGTGTTTCTTATCTGTACTCTATTTTCTATTTCCTCATCTTGTTCTTCAGTATTTTTTCTAAAACCTATTTGAACTTCACATAAATTGATCAGAAACTGGTTGAAGACCAAAGGTGACAACGTTAAAACAAAAAACAAAAAACTAAACACATTAAAACAATAAAACTTTGAGATAATTTTGAATAAGACCCTTTCTGGACAGAAATATTGCAAAAAAATTGGCTGGTGATGCTTAAAGCTACCTGTRTGTCTGTGTGTGTTTGCAGGTAGATGAGATCTACTCAGTTCCTGATGTTGGGACAGTTGTGGGAGGAACTCTGTACAGGTGAGACAACAGTTTATGGAAAAATTAAATCATTAGTTACAGCTTTTCAGGTTGTCCTAAATGTTTGTTCTGTTTTTTGTTCTGACTCAATAGATCTGTGTAGTTGATGGTCAAACCAGTCTCAAAGCTTGAGTTCAGTTTATCTTGATAACGGTGAAGTTTAAAAAGTAACTAATGTTGGGCAGCTGTGGCAGTCATCTTAAAATAAGCTGACTCCAAAGGTTCTACAGCCAAACATCAAATGATGGTGTTCTGCAAGTTTAATTTCAAATACATTCAGTAGTTATGGAGATATTTTGCTAACAAACTGGCACAAGAACACAAACAAGACATGGGCAAAATCATTATCATTGGTCTTTTAGTGGCAGACGATAAGCTTCATATAAAATCTGCCTCCAGATCAGCCATGTTGCTTCTGTCTTGGTTGTGTCACTGCACTGAAAAAAGCTAGCTTTACGGTGCAGTCACTGTCTGTGTGTGTTTCAGTGGTGTGTGCAGGGAGGGTGAACGGCTGGTGGTGGGTCCAACAGACGAAGGTCGATTCCTACGTCTGAAGGTGGGCAGCATCCAGAGGAACCGCTCAGCCTGCAGGGTCCTGAGGGCCGGACAGGCAGCCACGCTGGCTCTGGGAAACTTTGACCGCTCTCTGCTGCGCAAGGTCAGAGGTCACCTAAAGTCATTTAGGAAATGAATCAATATTGATAGAGCTGCTTCTCAGTGGCTTATAACTGTGAAGAAATGTTTTTTTTTTCCTTTYTGTGCTTTGTATTGTGTCTGTTTGTGTCAATGTGTCAGTTTAGTATGTCCTCAGTGATTTTTCCCAGCTCCTCCCACACCTGACACCTGTCTCTTCCTTGGTGTGTCTCATTTCCCTTCATTAATTTCACCTTTTATATTCTCTGTCTGGTCTTCTCCAGGAAAAGATAGCTTGCATTGAAGCTTAAAAGTATTAAATGAAAATAACTTACTTTACCCAGGGTCTGAGCTATTTCCTCCCATGATTTAGTTGCTCTCTGAAAGTCCTTATTTTCTTAATTTATGTATCATATAGCATCTATGTTTTCTAATCTCCTCCATGAGATGCTCTTTCTCCATTTCATCCAAAAACGATGCAGATTTTCAACTTTATCTGCTTGATGACGCATCCAAAACAGTTCAATGTGAACTCACCGGACACTTTATTAGCGATACTGCAGACGCAGACRTAAAAAAATGATCTCTGTGTGGTCCTGTCCAGCACACGTCCACTTTGAGTCCACATTGAGTCCATCTCGAGTCAGCGCAGACCTCCGCAGAGTGGAGTACACCTGTATATGTGGGGGCCTCAACTCACTCACTCACTCACTCACTCACTCACTCACTCACTCACTCACTCACTCACTCACTCACTCACTCACTCACTCACTCACTCACTCACTCACNACTCACTCACTCACTCACTCACTCACTCACTCACTCACTCACTCACTCACTCACTCACTCACTCACTCACTCACTCACTCACTCACTCACTCAATTAGTGAGTGACTACCTCACTAAGTCACTAACTCATCAAGTCACTCACCCACTCCCTCAATAATTCACTCACTCATTAACTAACTCACCAACTAAGTCACTTAGTGAGTGACTCCCTCACTAACTCACTCACTCAATAACTAACTCGCTCACCRACTAAGTCACTTCGTGAGTGACTCCCTTACTAAGTCACTAACTCACTGTCACTCACCCACTCACTAAGTCACTCACTAATTAACTCACTCACTAACTCACTCACCGACTAAGTCACTTATTGAGTGTCTCCCTGACTAAGCCACTAACTAAGTCACTCACCCACTCCCTTACTGTCATTCACTCATTAACTAACTCACTCACCGACTAAGCCACTTAGTGACTCCCTCACTAAGTCACTAACTCACTTACTGTCACTCACTCATTAATTAACTCACTCACTAACTCACTCACCAACTAAGTCACTTAGTGAGTTACTCCCTTACTAAGTCACACACTAACTCACTAAGTCACTCACTTACTCACTCACTCATTTATTAACTCACTCACTGACTAAGTCACTTAGTGAGTGGCTCCCTCACTAAGTCACTAACTCACTTACTAAGTCACTCACTCACTAAGTCACTCATTAATTAACTCACTCACCAACTCAGTCACTCACTCACTCACTCACTCAGTGAATGACTCCCAATTAGTGGCTGCTTACTTGCCCTACTCACTTGCTGTGAAGCACCATTGCAGCTGAACTGGGTCCACTTGATGGCGCTGTAARGTCTAATTATTTACCCTCTGCTTTTGAGATGGGCTCTCCTCACACTACTGGAACAGGAAGCTGTTGTCATCATGGTAGTATTCCAAGCTCTGGCAGTGACTGTTGCCATGATACACCGGCTGCTGGAGAACGAACGCCATAAGATCTTCTAGAACAGGGGTTCTCAAACCTTTTGGCTCTGGGGACCCCTTAAAATGGTGAAAAAAATTCCAGGGACCCYCTCATAAACCCCATGCTATTTTAAAAGATAATTTATTGT